AAAAAAACAAACCCGTTAAGTGTAGAAGAGGAACCCATTACTCAAATGCATAAATAAGGAATCAAGGATCATGAAAAGTCATGTAAATATGACACCACCAAAGGAAACTCATTAAGTTCCAATAACCAAGGATCCATGAACTGTCAGACAAAGAATTTAAAATAATCCTCTTAAGGAAGTTCAGTGAGCTACAAGAAAACAGAGACACCACTAAATAAAACTTGGGAAACAATACATAAATAACACAAGAAGCCTGACACGAAAACAGCAAACAAACAGAAATCCGAGAATTGAAAAATATAAATAATTAAGGAAGGAAACAGAGTTTCAAAAGTAGACTCAGCCACAGCAGAAAAAAGAATCAACAACTTGGGGGGCACCTAGCTGGCTCAGTCGGAAGAGCATATAACTTTTGATCTCAGGGTTGTTGCCCCAAGTTGGGTGTAGAGATTACTTAAATAAATACAACTTGAAAAAAAAAAAATCAATAATGGGAGAGGAGAGAACACTGGAAATTACAGAATCAGAGAAGCAAAACTGGAGTGAAACAGAATGAAAAAAGCCTACAGGAATTACGGGACACAATGGGGAAGGAAGCAAAACAATATTCACATTATGGGAATTCCAAAAGGAGAAAAGAAAGAGAAATGGAGAGAAAGTATACTTAAAGCAATAACATATGGGGCACCTGGGTAGTTCAGTCAGTTAAGTATCTGACTCTTGATTTTAGCTCAAGTCATGATCTCATGGTTCACAGTTCATGAGATGGAGCCCCACATTGGGCTCTGCACTAACATGCAGAGTCTGCCTGGGATTCTCTCTCCCCTCTCTTTCTCTGCTGCTCCCCAACTCTCTCTCTCTCTCAAATAAACATTTTTATTTTATTTAAACGTAGTGTAAATCTTACTGGTAACAGTAAACATATAGGCATTTCATATTCTACAATATGCTAATAGTGGCACATAAGTTACTTAAAACTCTAGTTTAAAAGTTAAAAGAATATACTTAAAACAACATAACAACAATAACCTGTTACAATTTACATTTAAAAAAATATTTTAGAAGCCATGGATGGGGCTTCTACTCCTGACCCCAAGGTCAAGAATCACATGCTCTACTAAGGCAGAGAGGCTTCCCTACTGGTTTCTGTACCATATAAATAGTAACACTAGTAACCTAAAATCTGAGGGAGAGAAGAAGTAAAGCTGCAAGTTTACAAACTCTACTGAAGTTGTCATCAGTTTAAAATAGAGTGTGGTAAGTTTAAGATATTTTATGTGAGCCTAATGGCAACCACCCAGAAAAACCTTATACCAATTACAACAAAAAACACAATAAAGAAGTCAAAACATACTGATACCAAGAGACATCAAAACAACAAAAAAGACAGCAGGATAAGAATCATGGAATAATGGATCTACAAAACAAGCAGAAAACAATTAACAAAATGACAATAGTTAAGTCCTTAACTATCAATAATTACTTTAAATGTTAAGAAGATTAAATTGTCCAATTAAAAGACAGAGAATGGCTCAATAGATTTAAAAAAAAAAAAAAAAAAAAGACCCAACAATATGCTGACTTACTTTAGACTTTTTAAAGGCACACCTACGCTGAAAGAAAAGGATGGAGAAAGACATTTTGAGCAAATGATAACCAAAACCAAAACAGACTTAAAAAGACACAGAAATCATTATACAATGATAAAGTGGTCAACGTAACAAGAAGATCTAACAGCTGTAAATATTCATGCACCCAACATTGGAACACCTAAATATATGAAGCATAAACTAACAGAACTAAAAGGAGAGACAAACAATAAAACAATAGTACTTGCAGACTTTGATACCTGACTCTCAACAATGGACAGATCACCCTGACAGAGAATCAAAAGGAAGCAGTATATCTGAACAACACTAGACACTAAAAGGATCTAACAGACAGATACAGAACATTCTACTCAACAAAAGAAGAATACACATTTCTCTCAAGTATACACAGAACAATTTCTAGAATGGACCATATATCAGGCCACAAAACAAGTCTCCACAAATTCAAGAAGACTGAGATCATAAGCAAGTATCTTTTCAGCTACAATGGCATGAAACTAGAAATTAGTGGCAAGAGGGAAAATGGAAAATTCACGAACATATGGAAATTAAACAACACGCTACTCAATAATCAATAGATCAAAGAAGAAATTAAGGGGAATTTAAAATGGTTTTTGTGGGGCGCCTGACTGGCTGGCTCAGTTGGTAGAGCATGTGACTCGATCTCAGGGTTGTAAGTTCGAGTCGAACATTTGGTGTAGAGATTATTTAAAAATACAATCTTATAAAAAAAGATTCTCGAGACAAAAGAAAATGGAAACACAACAAACATACCAGAACTTGGGAGATGCAGCAAAAGCAGTTCTAAAAGTAAAGTTCATGGCAATAAACACCTACATTAAGAAATAAGAAAGATTCCAAATAACTTCATTCTATACCTTCAGGATCTAGAAAAAGAAGAGCAAAGTAAGCTCAACAGTGGCAGAAGAAAAAAAGTATGTATATATAATGAAGATTAAAGAGAAAATAAATGAAATAGAGAACAAAAAAATAGAAAAGATTAACCAAAACAAAGAATCACTTCTTTGAAAAGAAACATCAAAACTGATAAACCCTTACACCAACCAAGGAAAAAAGGAAACTCAAATCATCAAAATTATAAATGAAAAAGGAGACATTACAACTGATATCACAGAAATTCAAAGGATCATGAGAGTACAATGAAAAACTATATGCCAACAAACGAGACAACCTAGAAGAAAAAATTCTTTGAAACGTACCACTTACCAAAACTAAATCAGATAGAAATAGAAAATCTGAATGGACCAATTACTAGTAAGAAGATTAAATCAGTAATCAAAAATATTCCTGGGCACCTGCGTGGCTCAGTCAGTTAAGTGTCCAACTTCAGCTCAGGTCATGATCTCATCGTTCGCGGGTTCAAGCTCCACACTGGACTCTGTGCTGAGAGCCCAGAGCCTAGAGCCTGCTTCAGGTTTGTGTCTCCCTCTCTCTCTGCCCCTCCCCTGCTCATACTGTCTCTGTCTCTAAAAAATGAATAAACGTTAAAATAAAAAAATGTGTGTGTGTGTGTGTGTGTGTGTGTATGTTCCAAACCCTCCACCCACAACGAAGAAAAGCCTGAAGAAGCCTGAAAAGACCAGGATGAAATGGTCTCACTGGTGAATAGACATTTCTCCAAAGATATATGTAAAGCCAACAGGTACATGAAAAGGTCTTCAACATCACAAGTCATCAGGGAAAAGCAAATGAGGTACCACCCCAGACTTGTTAGAATGGCTACCACCAAAAAGACAAGCTGGCAAAAATAAAAGAGAAAGGGGAACTTTTGTGCACTTGGTAGGAATGTAAATTTGTAAAGTCACACTATGCCAAACAATATGGATGACCCTAAAAAAACTTAAAACTAGAATTACCCCATGATCCCAAAATTCCAGTTCTATAAAAATATCCAAAGGAAACTATGACTCAAAAATGTACCTGCACCCCCATGTCCACAACAGCATTATTTATAATACCAAGACATCGACATGGCCTAAGTATCCACTGATGGATAAAAGAATAAAGAACTTGTGGGATATATACACAAAGGGAATCTTATTCGGCCATTAAAAAAATGAGAAAATCCATGGGGCACCTGGGTTCCTAGATTGGGTTAAGTGGCCAACTTTGGCTCAGGTCGTGATCTTGCAATCCGTGAGTTGAAACCCCAAGTTCGGCTCTTTGTTGACAGCTCAGAGCCTGCAGCCTGCTTCAGATTCTGTCTGCCTGTCTGCCTGTCTGTCTCTGTCTCTCTCTCTCTCTGTGCCCCTCCTCCACTCGCGCTCTCAAAAAAAAAAAAATTAAATGAATAAATATGTAAATAAAGAGGAAATCGTATCATTTATTCCAACATGGGTACCTTGAAGGCATCATGGTAAGTGAAATAAGTCAGAAAAAGACAAATACTGTCTGATCTCACATGTGGGCAAAAAGAAACCTCACAGAAAAAGAACAAACTTGGGAGGGAGGGGGCCTGGGGGTGGGGAACTGAAGGAAGGTGGTCAGAAGGTACAAATTTCCAGTTATAAGTACCAAGGATACAGTGCACAAATGACAACAGCCAACACTGTCCCATTGTATATAGAAAAGTTGTTAGAGTAAATCCTGACAGTTTCCATCACATGAAGCAATTTCTTTTCCCTTTTTTTCTTTTCCTCTTTCTTTTCTTTTTATACGGGAAGACAGATGTTAGCCTAACCTAGCATGGTGATCATTTTGCAGTACATATAAATCAAACCACCACGGTGTACACCTTAAACTTATATAGGGAGGAGTGTCTATTATCTCTCAATAAACCTGGGGGGGGAAGCATGAGCAAGAGAAGGATAAACACGTGTCTGTGTAGAGAGGAGAAATCCCAGAACGGGGGGAGAAGTAGCTCTAGCCAGCCCGCGATGTGGATGCAGCAAGTTGCTCTCTCACAGGCTGGCTCTGCTCTAGGACAGTACCTTAATTCCCAAGAATGGATTGCTCACCTCTATTCCTTCCAACAACAGATCCCTATAGTAAATGGAGAATAAATTTCTCAATAATTTGGAAATTAAAAAGTACATTTAATTAAAATATAGCAAACATAAAGATGCTTTAAAAATACAGATTCAGGGGCACCTGGGTGGCTCAGCTGGTTAAGCGTCCAACTCTTGGTTTCGGCTCAGGGTCATTATCTCCCAGTTTGTGGGTTTGAGACCCACATCGGTCTCCACACTGACAGTACACAGCCTGCTTGGGATTCTCTCTCTCCCTCTCTCTGCCCCTCCCCTGAAGCTCGCTCGCTCTCTCTCTCGCTCTCTCTCAAAATAAATATATTTTTTTTAAATACAGATTGAACTCTACCACATAACTATTTGTTGACACACTGTATGCTACAAATGTGAACCAGAAAAATACCTCTTTGGACTTCTCCTCTTTGGTAAACCTTCCAAACTTTTCTATCATCTCAGCCACAAATATCACATCCATTTTGTCAGAAAAATTGGCAGCTTCCACAGTGTAAGCCAGTAACTGTCGGGCTGTGGCCACAGCATTAGTAAGATTGAGAGGCATCTGTATTTAAAAAGGCAAACATTTTGACATTTTATCTTTGCATTTCAAAACATGGCAGTGAATTCAAAGTCTTTATCATTTATCCCCGGGGACGTTCTTAAAATGCTTTTTCAAACCTGAGAAAACTGGAATTATAATGGTAACTACCCTAAAGGCAATTTTTTTTAAGTTTGAATGAAACATAGCAATACATGAAAACACATCTGGTAAACATGCTGCACTGTGTCTTCCTCTCTACTTATCCAAATTCTACACATACTCGATACCAATTGCTTAGTAAAGCCTTTCCTGAGTATTCCAACTGGGAGGGATCGATAACTCCCCTGGAACCCCGATGCACGAGAATATGAAGCACTTACCGAGCATTTATCTACACCACCATGCTCAGTAACTTTTTACGTTTGTTTACTTATTGACTTAAACACAACTCAGCACCAACCATTACACCTAGGGCATAACGGGTACCAAGGAGCATAAGAAAATGTGTCACACAGAGGCCACCTTCCTGCTGCTTACATCTGGTCAGGATGAAAATGGATGCAGAGAAGTGAATACAAGAAAAGACACATGAGTACAAGCATAACAAGGGATCACTTGTGACAAGGAGATTATAGGAACCCAACAGGTGGCTTCCCAGATGGATTTGAAGGATGGCTGCAATTTGGTCCAGTGAATACAGATGATAAAGATATCCAAACAAAGGCACCGAGTTAGGCAGCAACTGGAAAGGAAAATCGACACCACACAGGGCCTTGAATAGCGGCTGAGGTGACAAGGCCTGATCCCAAAGACAGATCAACTAAATGTAAACACCAAATCCTTAGACTTTACTAGTATTTAAAACACACACAACCACACACCTGGCATTTCACCTAAAATAAATTAACAACCTCCGTCAATGTGACGACTTTCTAGTTACCTGATTAAACATATAAAGAACTCTGGTGACATCATTTGCATACTGGCAGCGAGAATAATCATCATCTGCCCAAAAGCCGCCTCTGTCGCATCTGCGCCAAGCCTTTCTCTCATCCTGCGGGTTTCCGGGGTAGATCCCACTGCCATGGGTATTCCGAGTACACTGAAGGTACGCCGTGATGCCTGCCAATGTTCTGGGCCATCTAGAGAGACGAAGACAAAACAGTATGAGAAAATTTCCATGGAATACAAGCCACAGGGTTCAAAAATCAAGGATGAGGGGCGCCTGGGTGGCTTAGTCGGTTAAGTGTCCGACTTTTGCTTAGGTCATGATCTCGCGGTTCGTGGGTTCGAGCCCCGCATCGGGCTCTGTGCTGACTGCCAGCCCAGAGCCTGGAGCCTATTTCAGAGTCTGTATCTCCCTCTCTCTCTGACCCTGCCCTGCTCACGCTGTCTCTCTCACTCTCTCTCTCCTAGAAATAAAAAAAAAAAAAAAAAAAACTTAAAAAAACAAAAATCAAGGATGAGAACAGGTCACGTATAATCACAGAGAAAAATCAAGAAGAAACAAACCCTCTCAGAATAGACTTTAAAAAAAAGGTTCGCATGAACTAAACTATTTTAAACTATCAGCCGCATATATTGTCATAGCATAGCATACTTTCTTAATATATTCTAAATATTGCTATAAACACACTGGAAAACGGTCTTAAAAAAGAAAAACAATGCAACATACAGCACAGAATTAGCAGATGTGCAGACGAGAGTCAGCACAGCAGGGCCAGGCTGGCTCTCCTTAGAAAGGCCTGCTGGCCACACTGGCCCACCTAGACAACTGGGGACTTGCAGTATTTGGGACGTGGAGTATGTGGGACTTGGAGTATTCCCACGAACAGTTAACTGGTTAGGGTTGTTCACCATGCCCAGATTGTTCGAACAAACAATAGGGATTATGCTGAAACTTGCTTTCTCTTTGGGAGTCGGACCTTGTGGCAACGCTGGGCAGAGGGCGCCTACGTGGTCAGCAGTAAGAACGTGGCGTGCCGAGTGTCCAACGGGCTTCCCTAGGCAACAACGCTGCCCAGAGGCTGCTGCCTTTTTGTGGCTGGAGGAGGAGCACGCTCTGTGTGATCTTCACGGAGGGAGAGAGCCCGAGGAAGCCTGCACGCGGATCTCTCCAGAATGCAGATGTATCCTTCCACCCTCCCCCGCCCCCCCCCCCCCCGCACTTATCCCACGACGTGTCTTGCTACATCACCATAATATATCTCAGCTGTGACCGCTACAACACGCTGAGTCCACGCCAGTCCTCCTAGCAAATTTCTGCACTTGGGGGTGGCCTAGCAGACTTCCGGCACAGCACACAACTGAATTTATCTGGGAGACGCCGCTCCCTGTGCAAGTACCAACACAAACCTGTGGGCATGGACTAACAGCTAGGAGAAAGCTTTGTCCTCTGAGCCCCATTTCTCCAAAAGTGGGACTGATGTGAATATATTTAATAAAAGTTACAGCTGACCTGTAACACAGGAACTGATAGATTACAGCATCACTCACGCCGAAATATAATTCATTACCGAAATCTGCATAAACAGACTAAGCAACACCAAACTAAATCTTATTAATGCAGTGAAAGTTCAATCGTATAATATACTAAGGAGTGTCAAAAGCTAATTTATTAATCAGTTCAATAATTAGATTCTTCTACTTTTTAAAACTGTAAAATACTCCAATTATGAGCAGGAAGAGAAAATCCACCATAAATAGAAAACATTATGAGTACTTAATAAAAGATGCAGAATAGAACCAAATTCCCAAATGTTGTCTAGTTTGCTTTAAAGTATACAGTGTAAATATTATCTATTAACAGTTATTCTACGTAAAGGACTTAGCTATCAGCAATAATAAATGCTAATTTCCATAAACTCGGGTCAGAGAGTTTTTTTTAAAGGACAAAAAGACAGTTTTTTTAAAAAAGCAATGAAGAAGTAGCTGAGCTAAAGATGTTGCATTGTTTCTTCATTTTGGATTTAAAAGATTAATATCCAAGGGCTTTCTTACCCTTAAAACTCGGGCTTCGAAGGAGCACCAATCACAGACAGTACAGACTGGATATTCAACAAACTATGCTACTTTAAAGAGCAGAAGTATTTCCCTTCATTGACATCAAGTATAAAGTCATTATTACATTCATAAATGTAAAGAACATTAAATAAATAATATATTTAAAGATGCTTTTTAAACTACCCTGAAAGTTAAGGAGAGTATAAAGTAAAAGTTGTCACCTCTCACAAATTCTAAATTTTCTATTTAAAAAAAAAAAACTCTAATACTTAGCTCCCTCTGCTTATCTCAACACAGAGTATATCATTAACGATTCCTTAAGTTTCAGGCCATCCAAAAGCTTTCGCTTCCCAAAGTCCTCTGGCTTAACTGCCAGAAAAACCAAACTAGGAGGGTAAAGGGACATGGTTTCTCCTAATTATCATGTCCACTAAACTGCCAATAGGTAAAAGTAACTCAGCAAGATGAAGCAAAGCCCATCCATAGAAAAGCCCCTGAAAAACCAGGACATACCATCAGCCTGTCTGAATTTCACAGTTTCAGTAGAATTTCCAAAACGTTTCCCTAAAGTAGTGGTTCTTAACTTTTACAGCAAACTATTAAACATGAAACACTCTGCCTGCAGAGGCTGTTAAATCAACATATCTGAGATAAAATTCAGGCATCTTTTTTTCTTAATCTTCATAAATGGCTCTGGAATCACTTTTCTAAAGAGTAGTCCTTAAGATATATAAGGATATGTATGTGAATAGACGTATATTTCTCAATTTTTCCTCTTGAGAACAGGAGACCAATGATGCACCTTTAAGAATAAAAACAGATGTGGGCAAATCACTTTTCCAGCACTTTCCACATCACTGACCTGAAATCACCTTTATTGTTTACCACCCTCTCGGGAGGACAGTACTGTGCAGAGCTTTCTAGAACCACGATGTCAACAGTTCTCGTATTGTTCCCACGTTTGGTCTGGACGTGACAGCCCCAATTTCCAGTCGATCCAGCCTGAATGTTAGAAATGGTTAGGGCACTGCATGAGGAAAGATTTAAAAAAGAGAGAAAATACGGTTAGACCAAAAAAGTGGGACAACTCAGGCTTCTATCATTCACTTAGCCAAGATGTCTGAACACACACTGTGGGCAAAGCACTTGCTGGATTAAAAATGAATTTAAAATATGATCCCTCCAGGGGAGCCTGGGTGGCTCAATCGGCTATGCATCCGACTTTGGGTCAGGTCATGATCTCATGGTTTGTGAGTTCAGGCTCCGTGTTGGACTCGCTGCTGACAGCACAGAGCCTGGAGCCTGCTTCAGATCCTCTGTCTCTCTCTCTCTCTCTCTCTAAGATAAACATTAAAACATTTATATATATATAACATATATATATAACATATATATAACATATATATAACACATATATAACACATATATAACACATATATAACACATAACACACATATATAACATATATATAACATATATACAAACATATATATATATATATATAACATATATATGTGTTTTGGAAATTCTACTAAAACTATTATACATATAAGTGATCCCTCTGTTTAAGTACTTCAGCAACAAGTCAAGCCAAACAGGTAAAGAGCTCCTTAAAGCACTATAATTAGAGCTATAACAGAAGTATGAACAAGGCACCTGGGTGGCTCAGTCAGGTAAGCGACCGACTCTTGATTTCAGCTCAGGTCATGATCTCGCAGTCATGAGATGGAGCCCTGCATCAGGCTTTGTGCTGACAGCACGGAGCCTGCTTGGGATTTTCTCTCTCTCTCTCTGCTCCTCCCCCACTCTCTCTCTTTCAAAGCAAACAAACGTTTAAAAAAAAAGTATGAACTGAGTGACAGTGAGAGGGGACATCATGCCTGACACCTCTCCTTCCACAAAGAGGGAAAGCAAGACGCAGCCAGGTCAGGGAACAGACTTCGTGCAAAGGCAGAAACATCACACCCCATTCTTCAGCAAAACTAATGGAGACATTTCCAAGTTATGTCTACCTTTCCAATGATTTGGAGGAAAATTCAAGCATGAAGGAAGGAGATTAATATTCTGAAGTGAACAATTAAGAAAATATTTAAGCTAAAATACTTTGTGGAAGAACTCATTAAGTCTCTACAAAGATTTAGTAAATTATCAACTAATGCTTTCACAAAAGGAGTTTTTCATGTAAAGGTATACTTCAACTTATAAAACAGCTATATTTCTAAATAGCTGTCAGTAAATTCAGTTTTCAAGATGAAATCATAATTCTCTAATATAAACCTATTAATTAAAGAGCAAATGTCAGAACCTTCAATTAGCCTTCCTCCCCACCACATGACCCACTATGCTATGCTTTTATGTAAATAGAAAATTAAGAGATAATTAGACATAAAGGATATATCATTTTAATTAACTGACAAAATTATGTCTTGAAGTTAATACACGTTTTTCCAGTCTCCTAAATCATTAATGGCTATTCAATATATGTTCTAATAAAGACTTTGAGGCACTATTACTCTGAATCAAAGAAAATGTTTATCATCTTTGTTAATTAAGTCAGAGAACATTACACTGAATATATTTGAGATAAAGTGACACAAAAAGTATTTTGCATTAAATTTAAATAACCAAATCCTAAAATAACCAATCACTCTCTAATCCAGAGGTCCCGAAACCTTCTTGGTTCACAGCACCTTCACTGACTGAAAAACGTTTCGCAGAGTCCCAAAAGAAATACCTACAATGGTCTAATTACTAAATTAAATCCTAGAATTGTGTACTGATGTCCTAATATCTTAAAACCCATTTGAGAAAATAATGCAGAACAAGTTGAGGTAAATATTTCATTCTTAAATAATCACAACTACTTCCTGATGGGCTGCGTTTGTCTGTTGAACACTGCAAAATTAATCGAATGTCAGATACTGATCAGACAAAAATACCCTTATTTCATGTTCCTCAATGATTTTCACACAGTACCTGCTTTGCACCATATCAATCACCAAAACTTCGGCACCTTAAAGTATGGCACCAGCAAAAGGAATGCAGCAGAATTGAATGATATCGTAACTGTGTAGCTTGGTCCAACAAATGTCAAGTATCACCACGCTTCTTCAAAAACTTAAAATAGGGGCACTTGGGTGGCTCAGTTGGTTAAGCATCCGACTCTTGGTTTCAGCTCAGGACATGATCTCACGGTTGATGAGTCTGAGCCCCACGTTGGGCTCTGTGCTGACAGCGCAGAGTCTGCTTGGAATTCTCTATCTTCCTTTCTCTCTGCCCCTCCCCAAGTCTCTCTCAAAATGAATAAACTTTAAAAGAAGAAAAACGTAAAATACTCCACAGCACCTCTGTAAACACTGTGATGTCCCAGGGCACTTTAGCACATGCCCTGGAAGCTAAGGTCTTAATATATTTTGCCAACATATTTTTAAAATAACCTTAGCAATACCATCAATACTCTAAAACCAATTATCAGAATAAACTTTTCAGGAATCCTCGAGGCAGCACACTGGAGCTTTAAGGAAGAAGAAGCGGCATCCATTTTATCTTTAAGGAAAAGTACAAACTCTGATTGTTACTAAGGAAAGATGGATAAAGTGAGGAAACCAATGAAGAATGAACAACTATCTCAAGTTAACCAATGAAATAACCATTAGTTTCCTTTTCTGCAACTTCTTTATTATTTGGAGGCAAATTTTGGGTAAAGGACTTCATATGAAAGATCTTCACATTAGTCAAGTGTCCCTCCCCAAAAAAACTATTGGGCAAGGATGCTAACCTTAGAATTAATTTTTTGTCCTGCTATAAAGAACTTAAAATATGACTCACAGGAATAAATGTATAAAGTTAATCCAGTTACTTTATAGTTGCAAAATGTTAAGAGTTCTAAATGAATGAGAGTCCTTTTATTTAGAAAAGGTTCTAGGGGAGCCCGGGTGGCTCAGTCAGTTAAGCATCCAACTTTGGCTCAGGCCATGATGTCACAGTTCATGAGTTCAAGCCCTACATCAGTCTCTCTGCTGACACCTCAGAGCCTGGAGCCTGCTTCAGATTCTGTATCTCCCTCTCTCTCTGCCCCTTCTCTGTTCACACTCTGTCTCTCTCTCTCAAAATAAATACACATTAAAAATTTTTAATAAAAAAGTTCTATATATTTTAATATATCATTGTTGCTGTATCATATGTCAGTTATTTTCTATTTCTATTCATAGAATAAACTGCTTAAAGCACACAACTCGGTGAGTTTTAACACATACACATGCTTGTGAAATTCTCACCGCCATACAAGTAAGACTCTAATAATTAGAGTCTTCTCACTGGGAAGACTAACAATCTTACTCCCTAATAAAAGTAGTGCGATTCTGTTAAGAACAGGGCAGCTCCTATCAATCTACCTGCCTTGTAGTTAACAATTATAAGCTCTGAACTAAGTACAACATGACAGCTCTCTGAACACATGCTCAAAGATCCCAAGCAAGCAGAAACTGGAAGAGAAGCTGACGCCTGGAAGAAGGGATCAGCACCGCGGAGTTAAGACCAGGAAAGTGTTTTCAATGGCTTTTACCCAAGGACAGGCCCTATGCAAATAGAAATTCACAGTTGTAACCGTTGAAAAATCAGAGGACAGAGACAGACAGGAACCTAGCTGGCAGCCCAAACTTCTGCATATGACATCTACCCAGATCTCTCACTGGCCCCTGACGCACACACACATGGGGTAGACACCACGCCGATTTCAGATGCTGCCCGTCACAGAGAAGACAGAAGCAGGAGTTTGAGTTTAGCCAAACTAACTGCTTGAGGGAACAAAAACCAGCTGACTTCAAGCAAATGCAAGAGAACCCAGAGTGGGGTTTGTAAACTTTTTCTTCAAAGGCAAAACAGTAATTATTTTAGGCTTTGCTGACCAAGAAGCAACATCAAAGATATTATATAGGTACTTATGTAACCATTTGCAAATGTTAAAAATATTCTTAGCCCAAAGGCCCATCAGGCCAGATGTGGCCCGTAAGCTGTATTTTGCCGACTTCTCTACAGTGAATCACTCACACTGTCCAGGATAGAATCCAACATGACCAGACAGATGAACAATATTTTTTTCTAGGTTTATTTATTTATTTTGAGATAGACTGCGCAAGTGGGGGAGGAGCAGAGAGAGAGGAAGAAAGAGAATCTCAAGTAGGTTCTGGGCTGCCAACATAGAACCCAACCCAACGCAGGGCTTGAACCCACAAACCGTGAGACCCAAGCCGAAGTTGGACACTTAACCAACTGAGCCACCGAGGAGCCCCAACAATATTTTTAAATAAGAAAATATAGAACATACTCAAAAGCAAAGAAGTCAGTGGTGACAATTCCAAGATGACCCAGATGTTGGAAATAGCTGAAAAGGTTTAAAAGCATCTACTATAAATATGCTAGAAGACACAAAGGAAAATATGCTTCTAATTAACAGACAGGAAATCTCAGGAGGGAAACAAAAATTATAAAATGGAATATTCTACCCCCAAAATTCTCAGACAGGATTCTTAAGTCAGAGCGCCTTTATCTTCTTGGAAAAAAAATTTTTAATGGCACTTCTGTGAATCTGCAATGATTCACACCCCAAGGTGCCCTAAAGAGTTTGGAAACTACAGATCTATTCTTAAATTGACAGAAGTAGGAAGAATAGATAGTAAGAACAGTGGCTCAGTTGGTTAAGCATCTGATTCTTGATTTCGGCTCATAGTTGTGAGACTGAGCCCCATGTTGTATTGGGCATGGAGCCTGCTTAAAATTCTCTCTCCCTCTCACTCTGCCCCTCCTGCGCACACACACACACACTCTCTCTCTCTCCAAAAAAAAAAAAATAGAGAGAGAAAGAAGGAAAGATATTGGGAAGAAGGAAAAAAAGGGACACGAGAGAGTGAAGAAAAAAGAAAATTCAATGCCTACAGGTTAGGATTTTACCAAAATAAAATATATAGTGATAATATCACATATATTTTTACTCTGTTTTTTGGGTTTTTAAAAATGTTTTATTTATTTTTGAGAGAGAGAGAGAGAGACAGCATGAGCAGCGGAGGGTCAGAGAGAGAGGGAGTCACAGAATCCGAAGACAGGCTCCAGGCTCTGAGCTAGCTGTCAGCACAGAGTCTGACGTGGGGCTCGAACCCACGAACTGTGAGATCATGACCTGAGCCGAAGTTGGATGCTTAACCGACTGAGGTGCACCCAGGTGCCCCTTTACTCTGTTTTTTATACCTTATACAGTTCATTCAAATTAATGATTTTGGTGATCATACCAGTCATTGTATTAACAGGTTAGGTGTTATAATTTTTTATACTGGTGGAGTAGAGAAAGAAAATACGTATCTTAAAATGTAGCATTAAGCTAGACAGTGAAAATTAGGTGATTGCTAAAAGTGAAAATCTGAGTTTAGAAGCAGTAAATGGTTAGAAATTAAGTTTGGCACAAAAAGTTTACATTTTTCCTCCTAAAACTTTAAATAAAAAGTCTCCAACTTTTTAACAGTGTTTCCCTTTTTTCCTATACTCTTTTGCTCCACAACTGGATGGAAAAGGTAGCTATTTCTGGAGATGAATAACAATCAGGAAAAGAAAAACCTAATGCTTGCATTTTTAAATGCAAGAAAATAAAATATTAATGCAAATTCTAACTAAACACTTCAGTTCTGAAATACATGAAATCCACAGAGACAATTCCTCATCTAAAAAAGGTTACCTTGCAATCAAGGAGCAGTTGTGAATCATGTTCTTTTCCACAAAGATACCTTGCGATTCATCAGTCTCAACTATGCGTCCATCCTGATACCACAACACCTGCATGTCCTGATCTATATATGAAGCCATACACTGGAAGGGAAGGCTGTCTCCTTCAAACACAACTTGTCGATGAGATGGAGTCATGTAGAAAGATGGTAATTCAAGGGGTGGATCTACAGACAATAAAACAAAGACTCAGATACCATACTATACCATACTATATCCACACTCCAGAGTTAAAAGCTATAGAAATTCTCTTTTCGGGGTGCCAGGTGGCTCAGCCAGTTAAGCATCCAACTTTGGCTCAGGTTCATGGTTGGGGAGTTCGAGCCCCGTTATCAGGTGCTATGCTGACCCCTCAAAGCCTGGAGCCTGCTTTGGATTCTGTCTCTCTCTCTCTCTCTCTCAAAAATAAAAAAACAATTTAAAAAATTTTTTAAAAGACCACAAACCTCTACTATGAAAAAAATTTTTTTTTTAATTTTTAACATTTATTTATTTTAGAGACAAAGAGATGGAAAGTGTACATGCATGTGGTAGAGAGAGACGGAGACACAGAATCCAAAGCAGGCTCCAGGCTCCGAGCTGTCAGCACAGAGACCAACACAGGGCTCCAATTCACAAGCTGTGAGATCATGACTTGAGCCCAAGTAGGATGTTTAATTGACTGAGCCACCCAGGTGCCCCAAAAGCTATAGAAATTCTAATTAAAAATTTTAAAATGTAAAACAAATTTTCCTCAGTGACCAGCATTTCCATGCTAGCACCAACACGGCTCCTACTGAGATAAGTGGCTCCTAGATGAAAACAAAATTAGTAAAATTAAAATGAAACCATTTCATAATCAATTCTGACATTTAAAGTTGTTCCTGTTTTGTGGTATCTAAGCAATTACTAAGAAAACAAATTGTAAAATAATACTTAAATCTGGAGAATGGAGCTGGTGATAAGTAAATACTAATATATATACAACTTTAGAATACATTTAGAAGACAGTATTACCTTTGATTAAACCACTGCTTCCTGCTTACATTAAGTAATGAATACTCCCTGAGAAAACTAAGAACATTCAAAGAAAAGGGAAAGAAAAATCTTTTAAGATTCCACGTTTTATCATCACTTTTAAAAAGCTGACATGGGGCACCTGGGTGGGTCTGTTGGTTAAGCATCCGACCGTTGGTTCTGGCTCAGGTCAGGATCTCATGGTTTGGGAGTTCAAGCCCCATGTCGGGCTCTGCATTATCAGAATGGAGCCTGCTTAGGTCTCTCCCCCTCTCTGTCTCGGCCCCTTTTCTGTTCATGCACACTCTCCCTCACTCTCTCTCAAAATAAATAAATAAACTTTGAAAAATAATTTTTAAAAAAGCTGATATACTTCCTTCCAGTCAGAAAAATAAAAGGGAGGGATTCTGAATATATGTGCAAAACTACACACAAATACCATGGGCTCGCTAAAGGCCCTTAGAATATTATTCCACTGTCTACTTTTATCTGTATGTAGTCCATCCTCTATTGATTTTATTTTTTTAAGTTGTTTTTAGTTTATTTATCTTGAGAGAAAGAGTGCGAGAGAAGAGACAGCATGAGCAGGGGAGGGCAGAGAGAGACAGAGAGAGAATCCCAAGTAGGTTCCGCACAGTGGGGAGCCCAATGCAGGGCTCAAACCACGAACCACGAGATCATGACCTGAGCCGAACTCAGACGCTTAACCAAATGAGCCAGCAGGTGGCCCAGCTGTGGTCTGTTCTAAAGAGTAAATAGCACATACGCAGACACGCATACAAGGAAACTAATCCTTGTAGTTATTTATAGAGAAATTATTAACAAACCAAAAACACTGAAATAAGGAAGTCGTCAAGTTATATTTACAGCTAGATCACAGATTGGCATGCATCTCTTTTATAGGACGAGGAAATGGACTTACATGATCTCTGGGTTTAAAAAGTTACAAAATATTATTAGAGTATGATAGTATTTTGGTCAAAACATAGGAAAAGGATGAAGAAAATATACTGAGTTATCTTTGACAATAGCGATCTTTGAGTAGTAAGAATGCAGCATGGGCTTTTTGGGTTTGCTTCTGCTAGTGTCTTCCTCTTCCAGCTTTATTGAAGTATAATTGACAAATAAATATAATTGACAAATAAAATTATATTTATTTGTCTATTTTATTCTCCCCACCCGCATTCAAAATTGTAAGATATTTAAAGTGAACATCATAATGATTTATGTGTATGTTGTTTCTTTCCACAAATCTTAATTTTCACCCACAGAGCATACTTTACTTGTGAAACTACAACAATAATGATAATAAAGAGAAAACATAAACAAGTATAGAACTGCTTATTTCCAGACACGAAGTCTGGAATTTGCTTTTATCGTTTTAAAGATTGTTTTCAGTTTATGTGTATTTTTTTTCTTTTTCACATAATAAATGTGTTTTATTTCCTTCAAGTCTTCAGATACTCTTCAAAATTATGAATTTTAATAGCTGCATTATTATAAATGGGTGTGTCACAAGTATTTTCACGAATCCTCTATTTTTGAGAATTGAAGATACACTTATACTTAAATATTGACTTATAGAGCTGATCATTTCCTCAGAATTAAACCTTCCTGTAGAATCCTGGATCAAATTGTATCAGATTATTAAGAACACCGATAAATACTGCCAAACTATAGTTCCAAAGGTTCTATAAATTCACACTCCTACCAACAATATGATTGCAACTTCAGGGTTTTTTTCACTATCAACAAATTCCTTATTTGCCAAAAGATAGAAAATCGGAAGATCTGAAGATTCTCTGAATTTGTTTTTCGTTAAGAAAGCTGTTCAAAACCTAAGAACTTTAAACACCAATCCAAAACATGTCTTCTCCAGTTGATTTAACTATTCACATAAACTAAATATGTATTATCTGATCCATGAGGATTAATGTTGTAATCAATTCCATCACAGTGTAAAGAGAACTTCACAGTTTGTCAGGAAAAACACAGTAGCAAGTAAAATATGGCAAACACTTTCTCTGTATCTCTTTCTCCCTTACCGCATGTCAACAACTCCTGCTTCACACCGGTGACTGGCTGGGCCTGAAGAGACTTAGGATAAACACACCGTGTGTCCCGGACAGTGATGTTTCTCTCCTTTACCCAGCGATGCATCCACAATATGTTACAATCACACAGAAGATACTCAGTCTGAAACTCTCTATAACATGCAAGATACAAATTAGTGACTACAGTGAATATAATAAAATGGCATGCTGGCTTTACAATGGTGGCTTCTGCTTTAACAAGCACACCATTGCTCACCCTGGGATGCCTGGGGTCCACACCACCCACCAGTGTGTTCTCCTTGCTAATGAGAGGGCAGGAGGAACGGGTGCCCCAGCCCTTCTCCCTGCTAATTCAGGAACTGCCTGCTTTAGATCAAAGCTGGTATGCAAAGCAAATAAAATCTACACATCATCCCTCTTCTATGCAACAGGCTCCTTAATCCCAGGGTCTGGAATACCCAACCTCCATCTTTCGTGTCTATCAAATTTCTACATCATAAAGCATGGGGGCACTAACACATTACGCAACAGGGAGACAAAAACATAGATACAACTAACACAGAATGTAAACATGTCCTGTACAAATAAATCAAACTGCAAAAACAAATATAACTCTTGTGTCCTTAGCACGGATCGTGCATCAGCACAGGCTTCATCTCATTAATTCTGGCAAAAAAAAAAAAAAAAAAAAAAAATTTAAAAAAAAGGAGTTGGGATGAGTAATACACAAAAGAGAAAAGTAAATTTAAAAAAACACTACAGAAGGACGACTGAACTGACTTCTAATTCCTAAGCACCACCTTCTGGTTGGTTTCCAGCACCCTGAGGTAAAAACACTGGCCATTTTCCCCAATTTTGGGATAAAAATACTTCCTACATTCCTGTGTCCCGGGGTCTCAAAAGCCAGATTACTCTTTGTTGTCTTTCTTATTTTCTAAACTTCACAGAAATGGCTGACTTGAGCCCACTACATACGCCAAAGAGATGTTTTCACTACACAATGGTAATGGCAAGAAAAAGAAAGACAAGACAGACTTGGATCCAGTGTGGCTTAGATGTGCATACGTGTGGCCGTATCTGTAACGGTGTGGAACCAGATGAATGCCTAAGTTTTCGCTACGTCTCAGTGAAAACTGTTACTAAATGGTACGTCTAGAAAATTAAAGAAGAGCAGAGAGGGGGCCCGGAGGGAAAGATACAAGAATGGAGAAGGGAAGGGACAGTAAGGAAGAAGTCTGTATACACCAAATAGCATCTGCTAGAGAAGAAAACATTTTTTTCTTGGAAAAGTAGTCAATACCATAAATTATGCATCATAAATATTTGAAAAACATTATTATTTAAGTGTATTTCCAATAGAAATTTATGGGACTTGTAGTTTGAAATATATTATGGTTTAATGTGGAAATCCCATTACTGTCAAAAGGAACTCTCATACCATCTCAGTTAACGAAACTGTTTTGAGAGAAAAAAAAATCAGCCAATTTTAAAGCTACGGAGAGCTGTGTATGATCTTGCACTGATTTCATAAAGCAGGCATTCTACGTAAACAATCCTACAAATGTCAGTAAGTAGTTGTGACTTCAGTTTGGGGAAGGGGGAACAGGATAAAAATAAAACCCTAAAGTATATTCTTCACAATAGATTTTCATAGGGAAAGATATTTTATACTTTGAGGATTCAAATAGTCAAACAATAAAATATTTTCTAATTAGAAAATGAAGTCAAAGAGAATGAATTACCAATTTATTTACTCTAGAGAGAGACAGTATTCTAAGAAGAAAATGGCTGTCCTAGTCTGAAATATATTATTCTGATTTGTAGGATGATTTTCAGTGAGAATTCATGCTCTCAACTGAGTCTAACTTTTGCAAAATTTCACATTTTCCCCATGAGGTCTCTTAAACCATACAATAACTATTTCTAATTCTTTTAAAAAAAAATCAAGATTTATTTTTCAAAACAGGAAAAAATATTCTTACTTACAATGACCGTAATGAACCAAGATAATCAAATGTTCCTTGAGATAATGAAGAAAACAAATTCCCTGAAAGGTTTCTGGAAAAGAAAAAAGGAAATAATGTCATTTAAAAAATACTGACAATTATGTATTGTTTTACACAAATTTCTAAAGCGCCCTATAATCACTGAATAATGTTATAAAGAATTTATGAAAGTTGTTTTAAATCTTATAAAAAGGGAACAACTAATAAATACTTTATCCAAGGATGAAGAACTTTGTTCTCAGCCTATCTCAAGTAATAAAATTGGAGTTACTACTATCACATAAGGATTTTATACCAAATACCAGGTGAACCTAAAAGCTACCTTACTAATAAGGTAGAGCCTTAGTCATGCTCTCATTTTAAGTAAATTAGTCTTCATGTATTAACTCAGCATCATGTAAGAAAGCAGAAATTTAAAAACAAGAAAGGACAAGGGTGATCTGAATGACTGATCAGCAGTAGCAACTCACAGGAACTGAACAAAAATGTGAACAGAGTGGAAAGAGTCCAGCGTTTAAGACTGACATAATTCAGTGTGGGCCTTGGGCAAATTACTTAACCTATCTTGTTTCGTCCCCTTGTATCAGGTGACTTTAATAAATACCTAAACCCTTGCAGAGTTTTGTATGAATTAAACCCAGACATCCTGTGCTACAATGTGAGTGGTTTGTGGAGTCCCATAAGGATTCCACACTTGACCATAAGCTCTGGGAGCAAAGGGACTTGTGTCTTATTTACCAGGGTACCCCTGGCAGCTAGTAAAAGGATGCAGTACACAGTAGGTGCTCCGTGTTGGTGGCTCACTATTCAGGATATGGAATCCACCCCAGGAGGCTTTGAATACTAAATCGGGACTGAGGTCTAACCACTACAAGATCAGTTCTGTCTACTGTAGTATCAAGAATAGATACAATGTAGACCTAGAATTCTCAAGGAAGATGCCCTGAGACTTGGGAAGAAGCCTGCCTCTCTCTGGAGTCTGGGCTGAATACCTCGTGTGTGGACAATCATGTAGACGGCTTCTCTGGTAGAAAGAGGGGACGGAACTGATCTGGGAATGGTCAGCCTGTGACATCTGAAGCAGAGTATTCCAGGATGAGAAGACTTAATATGACACAAATGCCGATCCTTCACAAATTAATATACAATGAAATTCAGTAAAAAAAAGATCCCTGGATTGGCTTTTAAATATAGCATATGAATGTTTGGCAGAAAAAGTCTATATAAAAGGGCTCAGATTCTCACAGGAGAGCTGCCTAGGAAGGAAGCAAACAAACAAAAAAGAATAATTGCCAATTACAAGAACAATCAATGAAAGAGATGCCCTTCTCTTTCTTGGCCTATCAGAAGGGATACTGAATGTGGACTTTGAAAAGAGTATTACTGATGGAAGTATAAACCACTGTCATACTTTTAAAAAGTAACTTAGGGGTGCCTGGGTGGCTCAGTCCCATTTTTTAATTTTTTAAATTTTTTTTTATTTCTAGGAGAGAGAGAGAGAGACAGCGTGAGCAGGGGAGGGTCAGAGAGCGAGGGAGATACAGACTCTGAAATTGGCTCCAGGCTCTGAGCTGGCAATCAGCACAGAGCCCGACGCGGGGCTCGAACCCACGAACCGCGAGATCATGACCTAAGCGAAAGTCGGACGCTTAACCGACTAAGCCACCCAGGCGTCCCGACCCTTGCACTGTTCTTAATGTCTTAATTTTTCTTTATTTACTTACTTTTTGCTAAACAGATACATTTGAATTCCTGCGAGTTAAATATATACACTATATCACCTATGTATATACAGGGACGTTTACCAGGGCCTATGGGTTAAAGGTGGGGAAAATGCAATCAAATGGAATGTCCTTCAACAGAAGAATAATTGACTAAATTATAATCCGTTCTACACTTGGAATGTTCTGTAACTATTAACAAACAAGGGCTGCAACAACATGTACCCCCCTAAAAGATATTAATGATATATGGGTACTTTGTTAAAGTAAATTTCTGAGTACAGCACACATTTAAAGCCCTGTATGCATGCCTTTACCTTTGTGGGGGCAACAGAAAATATGAAAGTAATACACCACATAGTATAGGTGACCTCACAGTGGTATGTCTGAGGTGATGGAAGGGAGGCTTAACTTTTCCTTCAGATCTCTATATGGTTTTATTACTTAATGACATCACTAACTGTTCAATTGTATAAAGGAAATTCTCATAAATATCATTTACCAATTATTTCTGATAGAAAAATATTACAGGCATAATTCTTAGAAAAAAGACACCAGATTTAAATTGATCAAAATTCATAAGAAAGAAAAAAAAAAAGCTTTTGATTCACAAATCTCTTGACAATTTCTCTGGAAATTAACTTCCTAAGTGAAGGAGAGAGACTTACAATGAAAATACACAATGCAATTCAGAAAAAAAATTTTTTTTAAATCCCTGATTTGGCTTTTAAATATAGTGTCCATGTTGCGTCTGGGCGGCTCAGTTGATTAAGCGTCAGACTTCAGCTCAGGTCATGACCTCACAGCTTCTGAGTTCGAGCCCCGCGTCAGGCTCTGTGCTGACAGCTCAGAGCCTGGAGCCTGCTTTGGATATTGTGTCTCCTTCTCTCTCTGCCCCGCCCCTGCTAGCATGTTCTCTCTCTCAAAAATAAATAAACATTTTAAAAAATATGTTTTTCTTCCCAGTGGAAAAGGCAACTTGTTACTAGCCTTGACAACCAGCATACAGGTTGGCTCAGAGAGCCTAGAAATTGGGAGATTGCTGCATACAGAACACCTGTCCAAAGCTTCTTGATCCATAGCTCTAGACCTAGGTCAACCAAAATTATTAGAAGCATCTCCACTGCAATGCATTCCCCTTGACCTCAATTGCCAATTTTTCTTAGAAAGGATGTAAGTCAGGTTTATTTTTGTATGTGCCATTGACTGCTGTATTTAAGAGCCACTCAATGACCTATTATTACATGGGCTACAAAATTATCTCAATCAAATCTCAAAGTAGGAAACTTGGTAGTACTATTGTTCTGTTTGAATGATTCATCTGGATAAATGTCCTGTAAATTCTCACAGCAGGTATCACAGAATTAATTAAAAATGTAAGAGACAGACCCGAGCTTCAAAAATTCCAAAAACTTTAGCTTTTCAGGCAAGAGACAGAAAAAAGAAAAAAAAAAAAGAAACAGTAAGGAAACTGTAAGGAAATGCCCTAATGTAAAGACTGCCCCTTCCAGCTCTTTTGTCAAAGCTATCAATCTATCTGGAATCAAAGTCAATGAAAACCAGTAGATTCCAGACTCTTTTCCATTACTTGAGTCATAGCTATCCAAAAATATAACAGCTTTTTCCTCTATAGATGCCTCATTTTCCCAATTCTTGTGCAGTCCTCAAAAACCAAAAAATACGAAACTCTCAAAATAGATAATAAAAGCAGTGAAATAAAATTGCTGTGATCCAGCCTTAAAAAAAGAAAAAATGCAACTGGTTTCATTGATTTCCAGTTATGAGTAACGCTGTATACCAAATCAGTCTTGTATTTCAACACCTAGATTTGGCCATATACCTCTCCCTCTACAGTAAAGGGCTCACTGAAAAGTACTATGAATTTGCTAAGAAACAGGAGTACTCGGTGGTATTCTAATAGGTGACCCGAAGTCCCTTCCCTTCCTGCTAGGGTGAAGTCACCTCACTGTCTAAGCCCCCTAATAGCTTTTTGAAAGGTAACATGAATGAAATTGAAGAAACATTCTGAAAAGCTACAGAGACACAGAACCAAGCACAGGTAATCTTTGTAACTAGACCTTCTACCTTAAACCCTGAATTTCACCCTGTACCCCATTCCCAGATAACTATTCTCTAAAACAGGATTTTATGCCATCTACCTAGATAAATGTCCTTCGGTGGCTTCCTATTGTTAAATCACCTCTAAGCCTCTGTCTGCTTTTCATACGCTCCCATATAAAGCTCTATTATAGAGAAGCCTGGGTGGCTCAGTCAGTTAAGCGTCCGACTTCGGCTTAGATCATGATCTCGCATTCATGGGTTCAAGTCCCGCGCTGGGCTCTGTGCTGACAGCTCGGAGCCTGAAGCCTGCTTCAGATTCAGTGTCTCCTTCTCTCTCTGCCCCTCCCCTGCTTGCGCTCTATCTCTGTCTCTCAAAAAATAAAATAAGAAAGTGTTTAAAAAATTAAATTTGTATTACAGAGAATCAGCCTTATTTCTAGTTATTCCCAGAGCTTCTTCATTCTAAAAATAAAATTAAAATTAAAAATGTATTTGATGGTCTATACAAAGTTCTTCTGCATTTATATCATATATAAATTATAAGAGAGAGACACAGACAATTCAAATTTTAATTCATCTTTATAATAATCTTGAGATATGTTAACCTACATTAACAGATGAAAAAAGAAAAACAGAAAAGCTCAGAAAAGTTAACTCACCCCAAAGCACAAAGTCAGAGGCATCAGAATTCAAATAGTTACTTTACTCTTCACACCAGTGGCCTTCCCCTTGACACTGGCTTTGCTCTTTCCACTTTCATGCATCATTCGTTCCACTTCTTTTCCTTTCTAACTAACCAAATCTTTGCAATCTCTGCACCGTCAGCTCGCGCTTTACCTCTTCTAGGAAATTTATCCAGACTAGCAAAGCTTCCGCCCATCTCTCTCCACATGAACATGTGCCACATGTCCTCTGAGGCACATACCACCTTGTGTGTGTGCACGGTACACACTATTATGTTCTGATGACAATGTATCTCTGGTATTGAATTTCCAGCTCACTACCTGCCTCTCTTTCTGTAATCTCCACAGCTGCCCCTACTATCAAACATGTCACAGGTATCTACACATATCTGGGTACGCGTTCACATGCTTTCTTTTCTTTTTTTTTTTTTTACAAATAGTTTATTGTCAAGTTGGTTTCCATAGAACACCCAGTGCTCATCCCCACAAGTGCCCCCCTCCATGCCCATCACCCCTCTTCCCCTCCCCCCCACCCACATCAGCCCTCAGTTTGTTCTCAGCATTCAAGAGTCTCTCATGGTTTGCCTCTCTCTTTTTCCCCCACCATTTCCCCCCTTCTCCCCCATGGTCCTCCGTTAAGTTCCTCCTAAACCTCCTATACGTGCAAATATATATTTGTCCTTCTCTGCCTGACTTATTTCGCTACATGCTTTCTTCTACTTTAATAGGAAAGTGTACTTACAGCCTAACCAGATTGGTGAGTCCTCGAAATATGTCTGCATTCAGACATCCTATTCGATTGTTTGTCAGATCCCTAAGGAGAGAGAAGAAAGGAAAAAGTTATCTTCAATGAGTTCTCTTGGTTAATGAAGGTTTCATACATTCAATATTCAAGAAGAGCACCCAGGTATCATACAAGACCTTTCTTTTAGGCATCTGAGTTTACCTACCTCAAGGGAGTTAAGGGTAGCACAGAAAGAAAAATGAATTCTTGCTTTCGCTTATTTCTGGCATGTACAGACTACACACTGTCTCATTATAGGTGCCCTCTGTATTTCAAGCATTTACTCCTGTAAAATGACTCAAGATAAAACGGGAGTGGTAAAAAGGAGGTTCCATCTATCTTACCATCTGTGATAGACTCCTTAGCTGGCCTACACAGTTCATTAGGCTGGACAAGTTAGGGACAGGGCCCAGTCTCAGCAAACATCTAACAGACAATAAAGGGACAAATAACCAAAATGTTTGAACCTTTTATTTCCTCAAGAATACCTGAAACTTAATGCTTTCTAATATCATCCCTAAAGAGTCAGGAATTTTGACTATAATGAGAAAACAAAGTTAGCTTTTACTTCACAGATCTGTCATTTAGTCTCTAAGCCAAATTACTTCAGCAATAGCTACCTAACAGCATAGTTATTTTTCCCCATCACTCTTAAATTCTTATAGTTCCTATCGAATATTACTTTCTAAATATGTTTTTCTCCTCAGTCTATGAAACTTTTTCCTTTTTATCTACATAAAACACTTAGTAGCTATTGTGTTCTTCTGTGCTATGTGTTCTTTCCTCACACCATGGAGAGTGAACACAATTTTACATTTTAATCAGATTACATTTTAAAAATATTTTTAACATTTTAATTTTTTTTAATATTTATTTTTGAGAGAGAGAGAGAGAGAGAGAGAGAGAGCAAGCATGAGCAGGGGAGGGCAGAGAAAGAGGGAGACCCAGAATCTGAAGCAGGCTCCAGAATCTGAGCTGTCAGCATAGAGCCCAATGCAGGGATGGAACTCACAAACCATGAGATCATGACTTGAGCCAAAGTCAGATGCTTAACTGAGCCCCCCAGGCACCCCAAACGTTCATTTATTTGAGAGAGAGTGCAAGCAAGGAAGGGGAGAGAGGGAGGCAGGCACAGAATCTGAAGCAAGCTTCAGGCTCCGAACCATCAGCACAGAGCCTGATGCAGAGTTGGAACTCATGAACCACCAGACCATGACCTGAGCCGAAGTTGGATGCTTAACTGATTGAGCCACCCAGGCGCCCCTGGGAGACTGCATTTAAAAAAAATTTTTTTTAAATGTTTTATTTATTTCTGAGAGAGAGAGAGACAGCGTGAGCAGGGGAGGGCCAGAGAGACAGGGAGTCACAGAATCTGAAACAGGCTCCAGGCTCTGAGCTGGCTGTCAGCACAGAGCCCAACACGGGGCTCGAACCCATGAACTGTGAGATCATGACCTGAGCTGAAGTCGGACGCTTAACCAACTGAGTCACCCAGATGCCCCTGGGAGACTGCATTTTACCTGGGAGATAATCACTGACAATTTCTGTAAACTTCAAAGAAGACATCAGGACTTTCAGCATTTTTTCCATCACAAGACTTAGTAAACCATGCACAAGAAAACCCTAGAACAATGAATTTCATTTTTATCAGTTCTTAGATTTGGAATCATTCACCCCTTGGATGTTGATAAAAGAGTTTGCACAGGTTTCTAAACCAAATTTCCAGAAATGTTTTGAACACATTTTCTTCAATGTCCGTATTATTCTTTGTAATGGAAAAGTACCTATTCTTTGAGTCACGCTCTGAGTTACTCTTTGGAGAAGCACCACCGGTTTCTAAACTAACACTGTTGGGATTCTAAATTGTATGCTTGGTAACAGCAGAACTGTATTAGCCAGACTAGAAATTAGAAATGATAAGGATCCGGCATCTGAATCAGGTACCTCCTCACTAAGTCTCTCCCTCTAACAGTCCAAAAGCTAGCTTAGGTAATCCTGGTGTTACCTGACTTCACAGCTTTGCCTTCCCTATCTTCCTGCAACTTTTGATAAAAGAATCTAAGCAATAGAAAACTGAAACTTTATCTGTGCCTAGTGGGCTCCGGGATGCTGCTCCTCAGAATATTAAAGTGAAGTATTTAATCCTGTGGGACTTTTTTTATTCCAGCCGATTTTCCTTTTATTTCTGGGTTTTACTGTTTAAGAAAATTAGGCATCATGTTGTGAATTGTTGCTTAAACAAGCATTTCTGGGCTCTATTCATTATCTTGTCTCACTTCTGAGCTTTAACTGGTGTAATTACCACTGATTCTTTGGGAAACAATTTCATTATAGCTATACCTATTTAAAATGGTATTTAGGTATTGATAATGGGTTTCCATTTAGATGGAGAATCAGCTTGAATGTGTTGATAAAGCAAAAGAGAAACTGAATGGGTCTGGGTTTTACCTACTTTTGGTAGTTTATTCTTCAGAAAGACATTTAATCTTCCTGATTCAAATTATCTATGAAATAAAGGCAAAGGCACGGGTACGCTTACAAAAACACTTTATGTGTGGCTGTTGAGGGAGACACACAATTGAAATGAATGATTTAGAGCCTCATAAGAAGCAGAGCCTGTATCCATAAGCAACTCGCAAACATTACCAGCACTGAATATGTTTGTTTCTCATGGAGTTTACATACAGGATACTCTGAGCTTCCAAGTAGTATACCATAAGTTCCATTACAAGTCAGCCGTTTGAAATTAAGCATGTATTTTCTAGTGGGAAGAATATTATAAATGGCAATTACCTTCCTGGGCAAGAACACAAGAGACTACTTAATGTGCACTGCAAGAAAAAAAAAATGCTCAGGCAATGCATGGGACAGTTTCAGTAATTAAATGCTTTGGATCAAGAAACTTATTTATGTTGGATGGAAGTACTTGAGACATTATTTACTAAAGGATAAAGAACTAGATAGAGAATCTAAGATATTCTGCATTATCCTTAAAACATCCTGATGAAACTGCTTTTTATTAACAGTCAAGTTCCCTTCAATTCCCATCTCAACATGGAGATATTATTAGCATTTATCTTCCTAAAAAGAGCTTCCTTTCCCAAAAGGCTGGGATCCAGTGGTGCCAATCACACAGGGAGAGAATAAGCTGTCTTATCTGGCAGTATGTGGCCACACCCCTCCCCCCATAGAGAAAGAAAAAAAGTTGGAGGGAAACCTATTCTAGAAGTTCCCAAACTTTAGCATCAGAATCACCAGGAAGCACAAATAAAGATGGTTCAGCCTCAGCCCCAGTTTCTGATGGGGGTGTGTGTGTGAGTCTAACACCCACACTCTTGCTTCCTACCTAAGGACTCCTGTTCCTACACCTGGATTCCAACGGACCCATCCAAACATAGTGCCCATGTGCATCTGGTAAGAAGCACAAAGAAAGTGCCTCGCTAATAAACCAAGCATTGCAAGCTGCACTCCTCCTCTCACCTAATGATTGTCTTAGAGGTGCCTGCAGCCTGTCATGGCCAAGTTCCACACCCTTGCCTGGGTCAGAACAGCTGAGTGCTAGAAGCTCTTGGAGCTATAATGTAGCTGCTGCTCCAGCTCTCCGAAAGTAGATTCCAAGTCCACATCTAGGCTCCTGGTTGGCGTATATGACTCCACTAGGCTGTCAACCCCTCTGGGGGTTCCTGAGTTACCTTCACCTTGGAGCCGGGCTCACTGCTGAGCAGCCACAACAGACTCCATTTTTTTTTTTTCAACAGACTCCATTTTTGTTTAACTGAACTGATGGTGATCTCTGCCTCTCCACCTAATTCCACCGTCATGCTTAGTTACTGGGCTTGAAACCTAACTCTACACCTTGATCCTCTGCAACTCTGAAGCCCCAGGTGATGCCCCTCCCCTCCAATGCTTATCTTCCTGATCCAGAACTCCCATCTCCATTAACACCACTGACCTACTCCAGACAGGCCAGTTTTTCTGACTGGTCTCGTTAAAAAGCCTTAACTGGAAAATAATGGAGAGCAAAGTGCACGAGGAAGAAAAGTGATCAGGGGCAAGACCTCCGCCAGACGTCGCCGGCGTCCTGAGTGCACACACGGCTGATAGAAACAATGAACCACCATCTAGTGCCCTCAACAAAAACCATGGTAATAAAACGCCCTCCTACAGGGTCTGACTGACATTTCAAACAATTTTACACAATGAAGAAAGAGAATCCTTTAACTCCTACTACGCTTCATCTTCCAGAATTCTGCCCAAGAGAGGAGACTGAGAGGAAGGGCTTCAGAGGATATGTTTTAGATGAAAGAAAATTTTATTTCCAAAAGTAATTTTTTTAATATGCAAAAATAGCGTGGCCAACTCTTACTACTGGTTCTGACTGTATAAAGGAACAATTTTTGAATGAGAGAATGATAGATAACGAAAGTCAAAAATATTGGGAGGGAAGGTCACTGTCAGCATTTAAGTCCTGGCATGATTATTCTAAGAGCAAACAGAGCAGATTTTACTAGGCAAATAGCATGGAAAACAAAGACATAAAAAAAAAAAGCCAGGCACCCTCAATACCTTAAAAACGTTAAATAGTAAGAGAGTTTGATAGGGGTGCTTGGCTGGCTCAGTCTGTAGAAGATGCAACTCTTGATCTTGGGGTTGTGAGTTCGAGACCCGCGTTTGGTATTGAGATTACTTAAAAATTAAATCTTAAAAAAATAAAAGAGTATGATGGAACCAAAAAATAAAGACAGACAGGGATGGAGGAAGGATGACTGTTACAAGGAATGGAAGCAGGTCCCATCCCCAATACCCTCTGTCCCCACCACTCAGTGCTTAAGTGGTTTCTCCTTCCTGCCATCAGAAATATGTCAACTCCGTCAAGTCCTGCTGGCTCTACACTTATTTTTTTATGTTTATTTTTGTTTTGAGAGAGAGAGAGAGAGAGAGCGCAGCAGGGGAAGACAGAGGGAGAGAGAGAAAATCCCAAGAAGGCTCCATGCTGTCAGGGCAGAGCCCCACACTGGACTTCATCTCACAACTGTGATGAGCCAAGATCAAGTCAAATGCTTAACCGACTGAGCCACTCAGGCATCCCCAGCCCCGCACTATCTAGAGAGATTCAGAGTTCTTTAACAAGTCAGGTCATCAAAAGCCTACAAAAGCCTAATCCTTCCATGACCAGCCTAAATTCCAAAACTCCTCGTTCCCCGCTACGTGCTTCATGCTCTGGAAAAAGAACTCAACCACAGCCCCAAGAGACATATTCTTCCACAACAACGTAGATTCTGCTTAGAACACCTGTTTTATTGTTCCTCGATATGTATTCTTCATCCCTCAGGAGCAAGGTCAAATCTGAAGGTCAACTGCTCCTGTGTGCAGGCCATTCCCCTCCCAGGTGGCCGCTCCCGTTACTGGCAGATTATTATTGCTATAACTTTATCTGTGACAGCTGACATGTGCCTTGTTAGGGTATATGGTCATTGTCTAGCTGCCCCCAAGAGTCTGTGAGCTCCTCCCAGGAAGTCAGACCATGATAAGCAGCCAGCACTTAATAATAATAAATGTCTTCAGGAGTTATAAAGGATAATGGGACAGCCCACACGGCCTGAGTGTAGAGCTACTTCTCAAATATGAGCATGCTGGGGTGAGGGGAGTTGTTTAGCCTCAAAAGTAATAAAAACTGCTCTGTAGGTTTTGAAATAACAATACACAGATAAAATATACATGCTAATAAAGACTTCAAGTCAGTTAAATAGAAAGGGGCTTCAGTTGATATGCATATATAACAACTCTAGCTTGAATACAGTTAGAACTTAAAATCCTTCCTCTACATAGTACACATTACAACCACTGGCAAAGCTAGTAATCATTTTATCAGCATGTGAAGGACACAACCATCTCCCATCAAACAAGTCAAACTATTAAACAAATTAACCACTTTTTACACAACTTCTATTACTCTTTTTTTCCCCTTATCACAATCCTGGCTAGTTAACTAAAAATTATTAAAAACCCATTTTTTTTAAAATCATGGTAAAGCTTGAAGTAGGTTAACAGTTATTTATAAAAGAGATAAAAGAGTTTAAATTCATAGGCAAACAATTCAAATACTTACAATCTTTTTAGCGATGACAGTCCCCAAAAGGCACCTGGATCTATACTACTTATCAGATTGTTTCGGAGGTCCCTGTTAAAAACAAAATAAAAGTTATTCATATATCAGCACTGCAACAAATAGTTAGGCAAACTACACTAATCTACTCTACAGAAAACAATGATAATGGGAGGAAATTAACGGCAAAAAGGTTAACCGCGGCAGTAAGGGGTAGAGACAGAATTCAACTTCAAGAAGTCTGGTTCCAAAAGCCACTTTTTTGGTCAATACACTAAAAGGCATATGTCAAAAAAGATATGTATGTCCTTATTACTAATCAAATTCAAAGTTATGGCTATGCTACAATCCTATACATTACGTCTACAATTTCTTCCTCAGTACGCAATACTTCAGTTATCAAAATAAGTCAGAGATTTTATGTGTGAACATACTCAAACTGAATTTTTAAAAACCATTTTCAAAACTGCATGCTGTAACATTCATGTCATTTGGTTTTTCAGCTTTTTCCCTCCCTGAGCTTCTATGGTTAGGATTCCTGTAAAATAAAAATGGGATAATTCACAATATATATCTCAAAGCAAAGACCCACCAGCCCCCAAGGCAACGAATGGCATCTGATGGCACTCACAATATCCTCCCACGGTCAGGTGCACAGCTGTGCCATGTCAGCGCATCGCCATTAGGGGCCAGTGGTGAGCGGCACAGCCCACCCCTCCACCGGAGGGGATCTGAGCCACCTGCTAAGGCTGCATCTCTCCAGTGGGTGCCTGGGGCCAGCTGGGGACTCAAGTTGCCCCTCACATATGTTTGCACAGACCTCAAGGATAGCTGACAGTCAGCTACAGGAGGACTTAGAAAAGCAGAACAGCAGCCTACTTTTCCCGACCACATTCCTGCCAGTGGTCGGCCCACACTTGAGCTTTGCCAGACGCTGGAGTCAGACTCACTCGTGACCTTGCCCACTGAAGTCACAAGTGGCTTCCAGTCATCTCTCAGGGCACTGGATGTCAGACTAAGGACAGAAACTCTTTGCAACTTCTCCCATCCTTCCCTTCTTCCTTCTTTACCTAACGATGGCAACACAGGCCCTTGCAAATATGTGGTACAGGGGTGCACAGAGAGTTCATGACACAATACAAACTGCAGAGCAATGCCAACTATAAATCTAGGGCGGCAGGTGCTATCTCAAAGGACCCTCAGTCCCTTACCTACTGAAATTTATAAGGCCTCCTGGAAGCAGACTTGGACCGCTGGTGCCACCTGTTATCAGGACACTGAGATGACAGTCTCTGCGATCTTTATACCTACTGCTCCATCATGGGATGTAAACCGGAGCCCAGGCAGTCTATAAATCGGAAGAAAACCCTATGTTTGCCTTTTCAAACTGCTCTAACTCAGAAAGCAAGTGACCTCCCTTGCCTACTTGAGCTTAAGAACCCCAAGAAGTCTTCCTGTAGTGAGCACTGACCCACGGATTTTCTTCCATCCAGTAAGGAAAGGCACATTCAATTTTACTGTCCCCTCAGCTAATGAAACCTGAGATGTGGCCTGCTTCATAACATGCTGGGTTTTTTTTCCCAACAGCCCATTCCAACTATCGCCATCTACCAGTTATAAGGCTGGGGCTCGTTTCTGAACAGCTTTCCTGGAAATTTCACAAAAACATCCTGATGAGACTGTTCCTATGCACAACATGGTGGCAATCATTCACTTATTCGAAGCCCGTCATTCTTGGTGTGTCGCGGACATGGCCTCCCACACTCTCTGTGCTGTTTAATACAGGGTGACAGACACTGATCAGATATTCTCAGCAATGCTTCTCTGGGAGTGCAGACTGTGAATCCTGGGGCATCATGCTCTGTAGCAAGTCCTGCTCTGCCTTTTTGGGGTCTTAACTCCCTCTGTAATACATCAGGTCCTCCTCAGGGGGAACAGTTTCAGTGCTACCCTCCTCCCCAAATCAGGGCCAGGTTTTCTACATGAAACTGAACCACCACCACCACCCCCCCCCAGTAACCAGCAATCCTTTCTTCCTTTCTTTTCTTTCTTTCCTTTATCTTATTTATTTATTTTTAATGTTTATTCATTTTTGAGAGACAGCATGCAGGCAGGAGAGGGGCAGAGAGAGAGGGAAACACAGAATCTGAAGCAGCTCCAGGCTCTGAGCTGTCAGCACAGAGCCCAACACAGGGCTCGAACCCATGAACTGTGTGTGAGATCATGACCTGAGCCAAAGTCAGACTCTTAACCGACTGAGCCACCCAGGTCCCCCTGCAATCCCTTTTTAAAACAGAAGTAACGAGGTGCGCCTGGGTGGCTCAGTCGGTTAAGCATCCGACTTCAGCTCAGGTCATGATCTCGCGGTTTGTGGGCTCGAGCCCCGTGTCTGGCTATGCTGACAGCTCAGAGCCTAAAGCCTGCTTCAGAGTCTGTCTCCCTCTCTCCCTGCCCCTCCCCTGCTCATGTTCTGTCTCTGTCTCAAAAATAAATAAACTATTAAAAAAATTTAAAAAATAAAACAGAAGTAACTATTACACATAAAATCTACGCGCGGATTACAATTACTGAGTAAGAGTATTTCCCTGGTCAGAACTCAGATGTTATACTGCACAAGAAAACTGCTTTGCCAAAGCAGGCAGCTGACCTTTTTGTTTTTTTGCACCACAGCCTCGAAGATATTTCCTTTGTAAATAAAGTAACCCAAAATTATCTGAAAAGGCCAGGTAGCTCACGAAACATAACTGGATGATCATAAAAGTTTCAAAAGACAGTCAGGACAATTCGCAAATCCTACGCTTCTCTCGAACTTCCAGCCAGCTTCTCGGTTCTCTGAACTAGGAGTGAAACAGGGGTCCGTGGTGCAGTGATTTCGACAGAAAATCGGGGAGAGAAGTTCCAGCTGCCAACGCCACACCCCCAGCATCTCCAGCCCCAGACTCCTGCCCCGGGGGGGGGACCCCCAACAGGATACTGAGGCAGATTCTGATGGCAGGCAGGGCCCAGGGGTGCAGCTCCCCCACCCGCCACTCTGCCCTGGGGACTCTCTCCCCGCTGGGTCCTGAGGGCCACTCCAGGGAAGTCAGAAGGGAAGACGTGACCGGCCCTGAGAAGAGCGCCTGCCCCGTGAGAGAGGGGAGTGGGAGACTCCCTAGGCCTCCAGGGGGATGGCGGGGAAGTGGGCTCCATCCGGCTCCCAGTGGTCAGGGTCCAGGCTCTGCTCCCTACAAGAGGAGCTGCTCACAAAGGCGCCGGCATTGGCTTCCTTCCTTTCCCTCTCTCTGTCGCTCTCCCTAATTCGTGAGCGTTCTGGGACCACCTCTCCAATCAACCAGCGGAACTCAGAATTTCATCTCAGGACCTGCCCCTGGGGAAACTCAGGTTAAGATGCTTGGCCCAATGGGGGCACCAGGGAGGCTCAGTCAGTGACGTGTTGGACTCCTGATCTCAGCTCAGGTCATGATCTCATCGTTTGTGGGTTCGAGCCCCTCATCGGGCTCTGTGCTGATGACACTGAGCCTGCCTGGGATTCTATCTCTCCCTCTCCCTCTGCCCCTCCCCAGCTTGTGCTCTTTCTCTTTCTCTCTGAAAATAAATTAATTTAAAAAAAGATACCAGCCCAATAATGTGAAACCCACCAGCACTCGGCTCAGTGTTAACCTCAGTACAAAGACCCAAGAAGACTCTGCCCACCAGCTCCATTTTGAGCACACAGAGCAGAAAAGGAAAGGCTATTAGTCATTCAAAAATTCAAAAACTTAAGTTAAAAGAAAAAAAAATAAAACTCATTCCTAAGGAAAAAAGAATTTAAAAGCTTTGGAGTAGATGGAGGTGAGAAAGGAGAGCTAGCACGAAAGGTTCCAGAATTTAACAGTGAGAACTCAAACTATGACTGCTACCAATCATTTAATGTTTAGTCATTGTGCTAAACGTTTTTTTGTTTTGGTTTGGTTTTTGGGTTTTTTTTTTTGGTTTTGGTCTTTTTGCTGCCTTCCTCCTTGCTTTTCTCACAGACCTACTTCTCTCACACACCATATGGGAAGACAGTGCCCCAGAGCCCCCAATACCACCCCCTCCAGATATAGCTCTTGATCAACCTCCATCCAGATTCTTCAAACACTGTGGTCTTGGTAACTGGCATGAGTACATGACCCTGGTCTAACTAAACCTAGGGCCTGGGGTAGGGAAGAGGAGACAGATGGGGATAGGGTATGGCCATTTCCATTGGTTTGGTTAGAGGTCAAGAGGTAACCCTAGAGTCCTCTCACTTCCATGATAGAATTGCCTGTCTAAGGGGCGCCTGGCTGACTCAGTCAATACAGCACACAACTCTTGATCTCAGTGTCATGAGTTCAAGCCCCAACACGGGCATTGAGACTACTTTAAAGAAAAAAGTAATTAAGAGCCTGTCTAATGAAGCCAAAAGATAGGAAAAGAGAATTAATGCTGAGTCCCTGGATCCAGCCAAGCCTGAAGTCCAACTCTAACTCTCTGGGCTCCTCAATTACACAAATCACTGATTTCAGCAAGTAATTGTCTGGCGCCTCTCATCCCATTAAGATCTCACAATCAATCCTAGGAGATACGACTGTTACTAAAGATGAAGACAGTCATGTGTAAAGAAGACTATGAAATCAGGCCAAGTTCTTGGTATTAACAAGTGGCCAAGCCAGAAGTCAGGATTTAAACACATCTTTTCCACTGATACAAGTGGAGTCAATGTACACCTAAAGCAAGAGGGAGACTTATAAAGCAAACATGCCAAGAAGCTGCCATGGTTAAATCAAGGTGCTAGAGAGAAGAATGTTCTTTCAAACTGTGTGTTTGATAAATTTTACAATACGAAAAAAAAGCTATCAGATGTGCTATCGTCCAGCCTTCTACCGATGCATGGAAGATGCGTGCCCCTCTCTCCTCGTCTTCATCGTGGCCCCCACACAGTTCCGGCTGGGGCCCTTGCTTCATCCACTCTCTGTTTAAAGTGACCTTCCTAAGCATAAACCTGAATGCATCTCTGTTTTGGTGAAAACATCCGAAAGCTCCAGTTCCTTCAGAATGAAGTCCAAACTCTCTCG